ACCGGTAACCTATGCCCCGCGGGACTTGGAGTGGTGAACCACATAAGGCTTCGACAGATTAGGTGTGGTACTGAACCGGACGACAGCACAGCGGCCTACCAACAAGATCGGGTAGCGGTGACGGGGATCGATCCTGGGACCATAAGGTTCAAAGCACGCTTGTGACAGGGACTAAACCACTACCCCACCACCACATCAACTGAGACTCGGATTACGGTGCTATTCAATCGCACCAAAGATCAGTCGAGCCTCATCGCCATAACTTTGTTGGTTAAAACAAGATAAGACGTCCACATAGCACAGGTCGATGATTCCGTTACACACTCACAAACACCGTTGAACGCTCGAGGTGGCCCTATGCGCGAACGGGAACAAGCAGTTCTAGTTGCTGTGCCTGGGGCTTGTGAAATAGAAACCCCATCACCGCCCTTGGAATTAAACCAATCCCTAATTTGCTTTCCCATGGATTGTGACCAAGATTGGTTGGTGTACCGTTGAATCGGTACATTGCACCAGTGTGTGTGTCTGTAGGCCAACAGATGTTACCCCTTCTGTAATTTTTGGTGTTGGCATTCGACGAGGTTCCCGGTTCACACACACACACACACACACACCTCCATCCCAATCGAGATAATCTCCGCGGCTGGGCAAATCCCGTGTGCGGGGGTGGGTGGGAGCGTAACAAGACAAATATTTATCTGGGTCTTGTTTCAGATGGATACCTTTATCCCAAATCGGTCATTTTCGGTGACTCCGTCCACAAACAGAAGTATGCTCGTGTATGCATGCACAAGCCTGCTGGACGATGGCCGACCACAAAACCACACAAACGAAAGCAAACGAATTTCTCTTGGTCCATCACAAACCAAATACAAACAGATTGATTGATTGATTGATTGATTATTCATTTCGATTCAGGGTCATGTTTTCTTTTTGTTTCTCACTTTTCTGCCGCACAATTTGTAACAAACTGTGAGAATGTGTGTGTACACGATCGACCGTTCGCGTGTTATTTGTGATGAGACTGTTTTCCGCATGCTGCTGCTGCCGCCGCCGCGGCCGCGGCCGTTGATCAGCAACATCCCCAGGCTGAATTTCTCCGGATATAATAACTCAACTGTTTATTTATTTATTTTTTTTGACATTTATATGCTCACTGGTTGGTTTGCAGAAATAGATAACTCTGTCCCGTAAACCCAGAAACTCGGTTAGGTATTCCATACTATGTATGTATGTGTGTGTGTATGTGTCAACGAATGTTGACAAACTGTATATTCGCATTTAACTCACAGTTACTTGTGAGTAGTGCTGTGGGATAATTAATTTGAACTGACGATCCTTCGGATTTCACCTTCACGTACAATCCTCAGTTCATTGATTCAATCATACACTCGGAAGCACTAGACTCGAGTTTCGCTCTCTCAGTCGAGCTCATCAGTAGTGCATATCCACTGTCGGACCGTCCGGGATTTGAACTCCGAACCTATCGCATGGAAGGTATGTGCGTTACCATTGTACCAACAGGCTCACAGTGAAATCGATGAAGTGAGGATTGTGGGTGAAAATTCTATATTGCTTATAAAGGTTGTTACAAAGCTTAGCCAAACAATGATATGGTATGTGGTGACCTTATATACCGTGCAACTGACTGTCATAATGGTTGGCATCAAATACTGACCAGGAAATTGATTGCATAAGGTTTGTACGATGTGCCCTTAGATCATTCGATTATTTGACCCATCTCGTATGGTCGCAGTGTGTTCAGTGAACCAGTTTTTAAAGTGAGAGAAAATTGGACAAATTTTAAAGCATTAGAAAAGCTTCCCTGTTTGAAACTACCGAAAATCCATTCCAGTGAGGTAAAATAAAGCGACGGTATTGTGTAAAAAATTGAATTTGCGCGGTTGGCACCTAACTGTGCATCGAAAACTGTCCGCTGCTAAAACTGGCAATCGATGCGGAACAGCTTAGCAGGAAGCCATTAAAAGTACATAAATTAATTTTTGCGATATTCAGATTTTAAGCTACCGACGATACATGAACACGTTATCACGTTCTCGACTGGACGAGAGCATGCACGGCTCTGAGAATTTGAAATCTGCGCTACTCAAAATGTGATCCTTAACTGTCCGTTTTGGAAAAAAAGTACACATCAACGTATCTCGCTTCTGTTTAATTCCATCATGAGCAAAGCGTGGTTACAGAAACTAAATCAATTTTTCGTCGTTTCCCAATATTCTCATCCAAAAATAAGAATTGTTGTATAGGTCTTGTTGAACGGTCAATAGTAATTAATGCTCGATATACACGTACATGCGCAAATGCAGACATACAAACATACACGTACTTGACAGGGACGTTCTTCACATCGGACCTTGATCACATCGACTAATCAGAGTGTATCACGTGTTTGCTTGTTACTGATTGGCTGATTGATGATGACTTGTACGACCAGTACTTGCTTTTCTGGTTGTACGTGAATTAGGATACTTCTAGTTTGTGCCTGATTAAAGAATTTACTTTCGTGCCTATTGCGAGTTTTATTGATAACAACAGGAACTTCATGTACAAATAAGTGTAATATATTTAATTAGTTCGTAAACATTTTGATGAATTCTCGACAGACAAATTCTCCCGGTCAAATTGTAGTAGCCTCCACCGATAAAGATCAATAGCCTCGGTGGGATTCGAACCCTCATGCATGGACGCCGCCTACGCTTTGTACGCGTATGCTCTACCAGCTGAGCTACGCGGCCACACCGATACCACACTGATCGTTTCACATTCGAATTTACCCATCCAACTTATTATGCATTATTCAATCTGGAGAAGATTAGTAACTTTCTTCATTGTCTTACGCTTCGGATCAGAGCTGATACCGATTTGTTAGTCTCTAGGGCCCAGATTGGTGGTATTCATGTTCTCTGATACTTAACGGAAATTCAGTTGCGTTTTCTTCTTTTAACGACACTTTAGCGAAAACGCGATTATTTTTCTCTGTCCAAATCTCGACCTGTGTTTTGCTCAGTTTGTTCCCTATCCAGTTCTTTCGTGGAGAAACAGTCTGACGTAATATGGTTGATGTTTTTAATTTGTTTAAATGTACCCACTATATTATCAAAATCAAATGTTGATATATTTTCGTGTAGGAGGAGGAGGAGCGGACGAAATAGGAGTGTTGACCGTATCAGAGATACATGAGCATTTGTTACAGGCAATGAATTAAATCACGACAGAGTTAGCATGAGAATTTTCACAATGCGTTCAAAATTATCTGACGTGTGCAATTTGGATGAGACTTTAATTATTTCTTATCTCTTCACTTTCTGCGCGACATCGGCACAAATAACAAACCACGTGTTTGTGAAGAATCAAACGTCCCAATCTAGGGGACTACCTGGACCATTGTCCGTTTACGTTGCAGGATTTTTAATCCACACCAAAACGTTGTAGTTATTGTGCAAAGGCCATTATTCTATTTTATCACCGTTTGTATGTGCAAACCCCCGGAACACCGTACCTAACCACCTATTGCTTGTCAACCTTCATCTGTCCACATGTTCCAATGTGAATAATCATTGTGACTGTTTTGGAATTTAAAATAAGAATATATATGTAGTTGCTATTACTTTTGTTATCATTATTATTACTGTTATATAATATCATAGTTTCCCCTACTTTCTCTCCTCGGATCCTATCGACTGATTGTGATTAAGCGAATATAAGAGTTTCGCGATGGAAGAAAAGTGTGAGCAATCGGAACGTACAGTACAATGTGATATTGTTAATTCGTCTCTTTAGGTCTTGTCTCTTTCATCCAACGTGTTTAACTTGCGTGTGCAATTTCAACCTCTCCATTCACGGAACAAAGCCTCGTATCGTCTCCTGTTGTGAGAATACGAGCCGATGGACACATCCCAATCGCGTATATCCGTTCATTCCGCTGCACTGCATCAATTGTTTCACGGTTGTGATTGAATTGATTCACTATTTTTGTTCTTCATCTATTCCAAATCATGTTTCTGATGACCAGGTCAAAAGACAGATCTGTGTAGCCTAATACAAACAAACACACACACACACACAGGGTGATTTGGTTTTTCATTTTTGAAAAAAAAAAAATTCAGCTGCTTCCTATTGATCATCTAAAAAAAAACGTCCATTTCCCATATCCCACAGACACAGTCGAAATCCATACCTTGGCGCACAGTGTTAGTCTTCTCCTATGTCGCATCCGCCATGTTAGCATATGAATGACTGGACAAAATATCCCAGAGACACATGACCAGTTTCAGGGGGCGGGGGCGGGAAGGTCCTTACCGCTTGTCGCCAGCTCTGTATGCATATCCGATAATTGTTTGTCCAGTCAGGCATACGCGACTTACGATACAGAAACACTGACAAATCAGCCATACTGTCGAGTTTGCCGAGGTTAGACAGTCATAACACACAAAAACTAACACACGAGTATTGCAATAATTTTTCGTGGTCGGCTAATCCAAGATCGAATCCCTGAAATGCACTGAAACTACCCGCATCCCATTCCCACACCCATCCACCTCACTCCGTAAATGCTTGCGTTACCGATGTGTCTTACTCCTCTGCCGTTTACATAAAGGCGTGGAACATATTTCGTAATCTCTATATGATTATACATATTGACATATGAATACTGGTTTGGTGAATTTGAACAGAATACATGATGATACTTCTTGCCACCTACAATTTGGCAGCAATGAGGAGCATAATATTGAGAGAGAGGTAAAAGGTAAGAAAGGAGTAAATCAGAAGAGAATAGTCCGTCTGGTTGACGCAATGGAAGTGTGTGTGTGTGTGTGTGTGTGTGTGTGTGCAAATAGGTTTTCATCCGGATCGTTGGAAACGGAGAAGGCGCTGTTGTGCTTCATTTAGGGAAAATGGCGCTCCAATTCACTTTGAAAAAGATGCTTTGATCAACACATCGGGAATCTATCTATCATTGTCCCCATTCATTCCTCCCTTTAACCGCTTGATAAAGATGTTGTCTGTACCGAATCTGACGAGGATCTGGATCGAACAGATGAGACGGTTGATGAACACCATCCAGGTACGATTCGAATCCGTTCTTCCCGTAACGATTGGTCCCGTTGCGATTTGACCGGATACACACCGACCGGGTTGTGTGTGCCCAACTCCTGACGATTGGACTCGTCCCGTTTGTGTCCATCCCCCTGTCCCGATGTGTCCATAATGGTCGAATTACGCACACATTTGCGCATATGTCGTTCCAGGGGGCTAGTCAACAGGAATGGAGTATGACATTTGGAACAAGTCAGCTCGGTTCCGACTCGGACTGTGGGATAGCCGTGTGTACGCATATGACGTGTTAATTTGGACGATTGCGCGCACGCATACGGGCACAGTTTGCATGCGTAAGGTTTCTCACCCGTATGACTACGTCGATGCACAGTCAGATTACTGCAATTTTTAAAAATTTTCCCACAATACTCACATCGATCACGACGTCCGAGGCGTGGAAGATTGCGTCGATTGATCGGCACGGTTGGGACCTGGTTCGTTCGTTGGGTCGGAACGGGAGGAACAAGTGTACTGACCGGGGAGATGGTTGATCGTGAATAGGGTAGTGCATCACAAACTGTGGACTGT